TTGTCGGGAATTTGAAAGTTTTGTCGGAAATTTAGGAGGACTTTACCAAAAATGGTCCCAGAATTTAAATTTCATGCTCAAATTACTCCATACTGAAAATTTCACATTGTTTATACCGTTAGTTTGTCAGTTGACTGGAATTCGGTACTAAACACAGCAGCTGTATTAAGTGTACATTGTTGTACATTTTCTTGGTGTATGCCAAGCATTTTTCAGCATGATCATCTTTTTATCAACCCTAATGATGGATGCTTAGTCAGAAATCTTGGTGAATTTTAGGTTTTTCATTTTATTTAGTGTTACATTTTATTAAGATTTTACTAGCCAGACAAAGCTACAAAACCAATATAATACTAAGATATGCAGTAGTTACCTGTCATTGTATTTTATGAGTAAATGAAAGGCTTCGGTATAGAATTCTACCCCAGGAGCTTTAGGTGGGTTTGCGAAGTACATTTCTTGTACCTAAAACAATGTTAGTTGACTAAGTTAGGGCTATACACTAGGTATCAAGGAGGTTACTGGTAGTTTGGCAAATGATTCACACGGCAGACATTATACCTTTTCCAGAAGAGTTCTCCGTTCATTTATTTCTTCTTCAGTTGCCTAAAAATGAAATATAAATATATTTAAAAAATATCGATATTCGATTTCTCATATATCAAATATTTTGAAAGTTTTAACGAGACAACTTAATCTCCTTTTTTCCGCAATTATTGTATGCTAAAGTTTAGAAAACATGTGTTTGATGGCAATTGCAAATTCAAGTAGTAAGCGCATGGGCAATTTAAAAGTGTAAACAGAGCCGGTAAGTGCACACACAAGCAAGGACGGATTTTGATGGAGGAGGTGCAACAATTCTGTTTAGGAAAACTGGGGAGGTGCAACAATTCTAGCTCATGGAATGTTAATGCTTAGAATGTACCCTGCCCCCATAAAGTCAACTACATGATGTATGCATGTATTCATGAATTATGTTTGTAGAACTCATCCAATTTTGCCATTCAATACATTAATACAAAGTTTCTTTCGAAAAACGTTCTTACAAACACAAAGAAATTTGTCAAATTTTAACTTCCCTTACCATTCCATTCCCAAGGGGAGTTGCATGACCTGTCAGGGGAGTTGCATGACCTGTCAGGGGAGTTGCATGACCTGTCAGGGGAGTTGCATGACCTGTCAGGGGAGTTGCACGACCTGTCAGGGGAGTTGCATGACCTGTCAGGGGAGTTGCACGACCTGTCAGGGGAGTTGCATGACCTGTCAGGGGAGTTGCATGACCTGTCAGGGGAGTTGCATGACCTGTCAGGGGAGTTGCATGACCTGTCAGGGGAGTTGCATGACCTGTCAGGGGAGTTGCATGACCTGTCAGGGGAGTTGCACGACCTGTCAGGGGAGTTGCATGACCTGTCAGGGGAGTTGCATGACCTGTCAGGGGAGTTGCAAAAAATCTCAGAGGAGGTGCAAAACGATCTCTCCCCCCAAAATCCGGTCATGCACAGGAGATCACAACCTACACTAGTTCCAAGC